ATATTAATGTGTTTATTTATAAAAGAAAAATTCTCTTCTTTATAAAACAAATAACAGAAAACATTGTTCAAAATATCTTGATAAAAAAAACAGATGTACATACAATAAACTACTTTTCAAACGATCGTTCCTATAGGAGCTATATGATATAGTGCTTCGATCCGGCTGGTTTTGATATATGTACTGCCTGCAACAGAAAGACGAACCTCCGAAAAGTAAAATATACATGTATATATAAAATATATACTTTATGGGGTTCGGATATAATACACTCTACAAGATATAACATATTTACCCCAGTAGCTAACATAGCCGCAATATTTTACAGGGCATTCAAAGTTTCCCATTGCCTTATTAACTGTTTAGTTTTTCTTTTTTTATACATTTTTCTGTGGGTTCCATTCTATGCTGTTTTTTTTTTTAGATTTTCGATGACAAATTGCAGACAATTGAGTGTGACGCTCTGGTCTCGGAATTAGTTTTGGGAGTAGATCGGGGCAGTCAATTCTCGCCGCCGCCGCCGCCGCCGCCCGCAGCTGTTTGGCGTTTGTAATTAAATGAAATCTCAAGCGTTTGTCAGCCCCCAACTTCTCTCCGTTCCGCGTGTATATGTACAAATATTTTTTAGGGCTTTTCAAACGATTTCCTTTAAGTTTTTTTTAAATTTTTATGGCTTACCGCTTCCTTTTTTGGCCGTCTGGCGGTCGGTTGATTTATGCGCATATTTGGTTTTACGATGCAACTAAAATTTATTTTCACACCTTGAAAGCTGCAGGTTTCATAGTTTTATCGTGTTTTAATATTTCAAACAGCAATAAAAAAAAACTAAACATTTGATACTAAATTTATGGCTCTGCAAATGGAGGATGTACACGAAAATAAATTAAACCTAGTAGGGGTATTCAATAGCTGCAGCAAGTCGGTTTTGTTTGCAACCCAAAAAGATACAAAATGATAAAAACTAAGATACAAAGAATACAGATGAGGGCAAAGACAAAAGCAAACAGCAAATCAAATGAGAAGCAGCTGCCGAGATAGTTCTAAAAATCAAATGGACCACGCACACGCACAGCGAGCGGTATGCCAGGATCTGGACCCGGCCAGGACCAGGCAGGTGCAATGTGTCAGGCCCAAAGATTTTTTCCAAAATTTATGCAGGCACAAACTGGACAACAACAAATGTGCATGTGTGCGTGTGTGTGCGTGTGTTCCAAATCATAGATTTGTGAGCCAGACAAAGGGCGGCAGTGACAAGGGTGTGAGAGGAAGAGAAGTGCACATAGTTAGGGGATAAGTGCAAAGGACGCGTTGACGCTGCGTAACATGTGGTAGACAAAAGGATCCGCTGGCCCTATGATGTAATGTGAGCCTAAGAAAACTAGGCCCCAGCTACCTGAGCGACTGAGCTCAGGTAGCAGCAGTCAAGCAAGCCAAACCAAACACTGAGCGAAAGGAAGTTTGTCAAATCGAAAAGTTATCAAAACAGGGAGCTGCCGACTAGGGAATACTCTACCAACAAAATGGAGTTCGCGTTAGGAGAGGGGGGAGGCTATAGCTAATAATACTAAATACCAATTCTATAGAAGCTACATGTCAAATTTTGTGGCTCTAGCTTTGAAAACCTAAGAGATTTGTTCAGGATTTCGATGACGATATTTATCGATTACTCGGTAATAGGGCAAGTTATCGATTATCGATTGTAAGAGAACCTACGTTCCAAATTTCAAGTCTCTAGCCCTTATAGGTTCTAAGATCCTTGCGTTCATATATACGGACGAACGGACGGACATGGCTAGATCGACTCGGCTATTGATGCTGATCAAGAATATATATACTTCATAGGGTCGGAGATGCTTCCTTCTGCCTGTTACATACATTTACACAAAAAAATGATGCCCTTTTTACAGGATATAAAACATAAATTGCCAATTTAGTCAGTTATTCGTCGCCTTAAGTTATTTTCAAAGGACATAAAAAAGTCCACATGGAACTCTGGCCTGGCATTTAAGCCCAAATCCTTGTCCGCCAAGGAGGCCAAGAAAAGGCTATCTTAATACTACAATTTGTGTATCATTTTATATTTTACAGTCTGCTGAAATATTAAATTGAATACCCTAAACTGACCCAGCTGTGCCCACGAGATATTTTTTATAACTAAGTTTTTCCAATTATAAATTTAAATTGCAAAATCCCAAGTAGAGCGCTTTAATAGCCTTTCAACTAAGACAAACTTGCTGCTGCTGCCACAAAATGTTCGCATCAAATATCTACCCAATTTTTCTCACAGTGTATACTCATGCATTGTCTTCTCTTGCACTTACAGAACGCTCTTGGACGTGGCTGTACCGCTGGCCGGTGGCAGCGGCGATGTGGCCAGCACTTTGGCCAGCAACAACCTGAACATCTCGGCCGTTGCCGGTGCGAATGGCGCTCTGGAGAGCGCAGAGATGGGCGGCGCTCCGATGGGCTACAGTTTTCGGAAATGGTTTGCACGACCCTCGCTGCCGTTTGTCATCGGGATCTTTGCGCTGGGCGGCGTGGCCTGCACACTGGGCGGCATTGTGCTGGGCTCGACGGGCCTGATAGAGCACTCGACGCAGTATCTGAGCGCGGCGCTGCTGATGATTGGCATCGGCGTCTCGCTGCTCGTTATTTCGGGCGCCATTTGGCGGCTCAGCTTGCCCGACGATGTCGACGATTGTCCGTGCTTCCGGCGCATGGAGACCTGCCGCAACTGCAACAGTCCGCACTGCACGAATCGCCTGCTGCCGGGCAGCTATCTGTATCCGGAATTCCAGCATCGGCCGCCGCCGCCCTCGTATCTGACCTCGCTGAATGAATACGCATTCGTCTATCATCCCAGCGCCCATCCCCCGCAGGCGGCCTATGCCGCCGTCCGCATGAACACGCCGCCGCCGCTCTACCGCTCCACCTACTCCTTGAAGTAAGTGTGCACCGACAAGAGACCAAAACGCATTCAGTTGACTAATCTATTGCTTCCTTTTTCCCCAACCATGCAGCACTTCGGGCACACACATGCTGTCCGCGGGCATGTCGCTGCCGCCCACAAGCGAACAGGCCGCAGAGGATCCCATGACGGTGCTGTGCACACGCGAGGCCATCAGCCAGACATCCTTCAAGGAGCTGGAGATCGATGAGATACACGAGGATCAGGCGGCAATGCCGCTCACTCGCGAGGCGGAGAGCCAAACGCTCTTCAAGGAGGTGGAACTCGACTAGAAGGCAACACGAATCTCTAAAGCAGATTAGCTATACAATTACGTGTGTGTGTGCGTGTGTGTGTGGGTTTTCCTCTCAAGATCCTATTGTGTACCCCAACTCTTGACTGATTTATATCATATACAAGCTCCATATACATATATATACATACATATTCAGTTGCGTATCTTCAACATATGAAAACTGTACAAATTCATTTTAGATTTTCTAGTTTTAAAAGTTGTCCTTCTCAAGCATAAAAAACTTAGTGAAATTTAAGTGTATATAATTTATGCATATATATACATAGATTTATAAATGAACGTCCTAATTGTATACCTAAAGAAACTATACATATATATATATATATATACATATAGATTAGTATTTACATATGCGCGATGCTACGTGCAACAGATGTTTTCAGTTTTAGCCAAATGCCCTACGCTGCGGCTTTTATATGTTATGTTGATCATATTCAAAATGCCAAATTTAATAATAAATGTCTTCAAATGGCCTAAATGTGAAATCTAAGTGTGATTTTTATTGCTTTCAACAGGTTTTTATTTAGATAGCAGACAAATGTGTTTCCTTTTGAAATGAACACTGTATCCAAAAGGACTGTACCCAAACAAAACGCCTTTCTATGCGATTTTCATAATCTTAAAGGCAACTAATAAAGCAAACTGTGTTGCAGTCATAGCTGGCAGAGCTTAAAGTTATTCTCACCTTTCTCTCTGCATAAGTCATTCTCCCTTTATTCATCTTACTGTCTATATCTTTCTCTTACTTTCCTACTTTCCTTATCTTTGACGCTCTATCACACACCTTCTCTTTCTTTTACTCCCTCTATTTTTATCCCTCACTAGTTGCTGCTCTACACTTACATGCTCTCTCATACTTAATCGCCTTTTAATTTCGCCTTTCTCTGCGCTTTTCATAAATGCCAGTTGCGCATTTAGATTTTGGTACTTTATAGGGAGGTGTATATAGAAAAGCAATATGTAATATTTCATTTGATATTATTGTTAATATTGTGAGCGCCGGAGCTTTAATTTAACGAACTAAGACTTGGGTAGACGTCTATTTATAAACCAAGAAAATATGCTACGAACACAAGCCCGTTCAGGAACGTGCTTATTGTCTAATTTAATTTAATTTAACAAAGCTACGAATTTGGTAAATGTGTAAGCCAAAAACTCTATTTGCAAAATTGCGAAAAGTTTTAGTTACGATTTGCTTTAATTCAGGTACAATTTATGTTTTTTTTTTTTTTTTAATAAAATAGTCAATTTGTGGTGTAAATTGCTAACTTTCCTTTGTAACGACTAATTTTGCCACCACTGTAAGGTAGCCGAGACACAAGCCATCAGCTACTTAGCCGGTTGTTGTCCAGACTACCTGAATCAAGTTTTCACACCTGTTGCATCGAGTCACAGCTAATGCATATTTTATGATAAATATAGCCTAAAATCTTGGGGAATGCAATTAATAGATTACTTAATAAAGGCTTCTGGAAAAAAATAGCCGAAAATAAACTGGGTCAACTGTTAATTAGACGCAGCTTGTTTACTTTTTATAAAAAATCAGTGTCAAATTAGCGTGCATAATAAATTTGGAGGGACCTGTGCCTGTTCCCAGTTTCTGCCTTTTCGTGTGGCTTGATTAAAATTTTATAAAAGTCTCATTAAAAATGCCCAACTTATGCGACACGTAACGTTTTAAATGAGGCCAGTTCGGGAACAAGTTGCTCAAACGTCGTCGAAACGTTGAGCTGACAAATGTATCTTAAGGTAATAATTGTGTCCTTTGTGGTGCTGCTCCTGGGCGCACTCATTGGATTTCTGGCGTTTCCCATGTTGTTCAAGGAGCTGGTTAAGAGGGTGAGTAGACATAAAGGGTACGTAAGCATATACAGATTACAGGACAATTTCGACAGAGTGTTAACCTAAAGCCTGGCAGTGAAACGCGTCAGCTATGGGAGAAAATGCCATTTCCTCTAACATTCAAGATCTACGTATTCAACGTAACCAATGCGCAGGATATAGAAATGGGCGGCAAGCCGAAGCTACAGGAAGTGGGCCCATTTGTATACGAGTGAGCCAGACCCAGACTCCAAATGGACAACCCACATAAAATATCAATTTATTTCAGCGAGTGGAAGGACAAGTATGAGCTAATTGATATAGAATCGGAGAATGCGATTAGCTTTAAAATGCGCAACACATTTCAAACGCGCGCCGATTTGGGTCTAAGCGGCGAGGAGCTCATAACTATGCCGCATCCCCTGCTGCAGGTGAGCCAGAAAAAGCAGATGCTTTAGTTTACGAGATCTACAAAAGGTTCCACATAGTTCATGGCCATTGCGACCTTGGGCCAGCCAGCCGAGACGCAGGCAGCTGTGGCCTTGGGCCTGGACATAATTTTCAAGCCGCAAAGCGCCTTTATTACAGCCAAGTTCAAGGATCTTTTCTACGATGGCATCGATGTCAACTGCGACCAGGAGCATGCGGCTGCACTGGCCATTTGCCAGCAGTTCCAAGCGGGCGCAGTGCCGGGCGCGCTGCCAGTGAATGCCACCCACTACAAGTTCTCCCTGATGGGCGCGGCAAGTCAACTGGGCGTGGCCAGAGTTTACTTTTATAATTTACTTAATTTCTTTACAGGGCAATCACACAAATGCCGGACGCTTCAAGGTCTCACGCAGCAGATCGAAGAAGTCGTCCGTGGGACGTGTGCTCGCCTTCAATGAGGCGAAGCAGCTGCAGATCTGGTCGGAGCTGAACAATACCAGCTGCAATCGCTTGCGCGGCACAGATGGTACCATCTTTGCGCCTCTTATGCGACCCGAGCAGGGTCTGTGGAGCTACTCGCCGCAGTTGTGCCGCTCCCTGACCCCCAAGTGGATCGGCAGGACAAAATACAACAAACTGCCCGCTCAGCGCTATGAGCTCAACTTTGGCTCCGCACGCGTAGGTCTTGCAACAACGACTTTTAAATTAAATAATACAATTATAACAAATCCAAAAATTCTTAAAACCAAATCCCTAAAGTGCAAATTATAAGATTCTTAATATAGCAAATAACAAGCAAACAAAGAAGAAATTAGGTTCAAAAACAAATTGAATTAAACTCGCAAACAAAAAAGCCATCCAAAATAACTCCGAAAATATAACAATTAATAATTATAAAATTCCCAAAAGTTCCACAAAAAAATGATCAACAAAAATAAATAAGTAAATGAATTATAGCAAAACCTCCGTTACGATAATGACATTCAAAAATAATTGCATTAAGCTAGAAAGTGTAACGAGAAGATTCTAAACAACTCCAGAGACTGTGTTTAAGTTGAAATAAAAAAAACACTTCCAAAATCAATATTAATTAACTAATAAACAATAAAAGAAAAAAATTGCATATGAAATTTAACAAAAAGCGACCAAAAACAACTACAAAACTTCCGATTAATCAAAAAGACAAATATTTGTTGATCATATTGATTTAAGTGAGAAAAAAAATAAAAAAAACACTTCAAAATCAAGTTCAACCTTCATAAGAAATGATAACTTCTTTAAAAATCTAAAAAAAAACTCCCGATAGGAAATATATGCGAAACATAAAAACTCACAGACATAAAAGAAAGCCTAACACAGGTCTAAAACAGGATATTGTTATGATAAAAACAAACTCAATAAAAACCCCAAATGAAAATAGATTTAAAAACTTACAGTAACAGCATATATACAAATATTTTTCCAGACGGAACCGGATTTGCACTGCTACTGCACGGACTTTCCCGGCGATTGTCCGGCTGATGGCACCATGGATCTGGTACGCTGCAGCGGTACACCCTTAATGGCCTCCTTGCCGTACTTTTACCAAGCGGACCAAAAGTTATTGGCTGAAGTTGAAGGACTGCAGCCAACAGCTGCTAAACATGCCAGCATATTGATCTTCGAGCAGGTTACAATAAGCTTGGCTTAACTTTAGTAATTAAATGTCAAAGTAATATCCATTGATTTCTACAGTTTTCCGGCACAGTGCTCTCCGTGCATAATCGCCTGCAGTTCAGCTTGAAAGTGGCGCCTGTGAAGGATGTGCCATTGATGTCGCAGCTGCGCCCTTTGGCTATGCCGCTCTTTTGGATTGAGGAGTCGCTGCAGCTGGACGAAACAATCACACAGCTGCTGCACAAAAAGATATTTGCGTAAGTTTTTGAAGACGTTTGGAAGTTGCAATTTTAATGCTTAGCCCATTTTCTTTTATGTTCAGCGTATTAAATGCCAATAATTGGTTTAGATGGCTGTCCATTGGACTGGGAAGCTTCGGTTGTATACTCGGAGCACTGTTTTTGCATTTAACTCGCAGCGATGCGAAGCGCGTGGGCGTCGTTGAAGAGGAATGAATATCAATATAATTATATCCTTATCCAGCTACATTGCAGCGCGTGCGTTTAAACCATTTGGGAATTATAGCTACACAGCTCCTGATCTCTCCTTACATTACGAGTCATAAATATAATATATGTACATTTGTAGTTTTATCTTCGATGTCTATAGCGTCCACATTTTAAAATAGTTCAGTTGAATGTATTATACGATTCGATAGTGCTTGGAACAGCGATACGGATATAGATATATATGTATTTATATAACTTATTGTTAGGCATACGCACTATCCTAAATAAAAGACGTGTACGAATGTGTGGACAGCAAGTGTGAATGTGTGTTGGAAAGTGGAAAACTTGCAGAATGAGGTTGCGGCGTGTTTTAGTTTGTACGCCGCGTCTGACGCAAGCTTTTCTCGATCTCAAATTGCCGCACATCGGTGCGCTGCAAAAAGTCCTGGCGTTCCAAGTAACTGTAACAGAGGAAGATAAATTATTCAAGGATTTACCATGGTAAAGTCGACAAAATGAACTCACCCATCCTTGCCTTTGTTGTGTGTACGCAGATCTTCATCGATGCCCTCGTCACATTTAAAGGACTTCCAATCTAGCTGTGACTTTTCCAACACTGACATTTTCTTCTTCTTGCCCAGCTGATTGAGCAAAGAGCCCAAGCCGCCGCCGCCACCCCCGCCGCCACCATTGGCTGGACGCTTGGCAGCGCCAAAGGCGCGGGGCGCTGGAGATTTAGGGCTTACCGATGCCGGCTGCTCTTGGTTCTCCTTAGCACTGGAACTGGAACTGGAACTAGTGATGGTTTTGGTCACAGTCACCTTTTCGCCGGCAAAGTCAAGAACTTCCGTTACTTGCTTGGCGGCCGGCGCTGTGCGTTTACCGCTATCTGTCGGCTTGGCGGGCGACGGTGTCTCTTTGGGCTTTGTGGCGGGTTTGCTGCTGGCACCGACATCGCCCAGAAAGTCGGCCCAGAGCGCATCGGAGCGCGATTTGTCGGCTTCCTCGTCTGATTCCAATTCGTCCTTTTCCGCAACTTCGCGTCCATTTTGTTTGGCTTCCGTTTGACGCGTGCTACGTGTAGCTCCTGCACCGCTGTCGGTCTCTATTAACTTTTGCTTTACTTTGTCTTTCTTTTTGCCTTTTGCAGCTTTGCTTGGTTTTTCGCTTGATTCGGCGTCGTTTTCGTCGTCGAATTCGCTTTCGCTGTCGTCTTCCTCCTCCTCACCGGAATCCGCATCAGCTTCATTTTCTAGGCAAAAATCCTCGTCGCTTTCATCGCTATCCGAGGCATAGTCTTGCTCCTTATTCATATTAAGTTTCAGCTACTTTTTATTAGATTAAACACAATTTTATTTTTTTATTTCACAGCGAGTTTTAAGATTTTTCCGGCCGCAAAGAATTAGTATGGAGACATGCACACAAGCACAAAGCACACAAACACGCAACGCGAAAAACAGCTGCCCGACAGCATTCCAACTAGTGATGTGCCATACCCACGATGTACGCAAATCGATATAAGCAACAGCTGAGCTAGACGTGCGATATAAGCGTATCGATATGTGCATAAAACAGCTGAGTTGACAGCTTATCAAGCTGGTTCATTTACCAAAGCGTTCCATCTCCGTTGCTATGTAAAATAATAGAACGCAGTCGAAGAAAAAATAACAATAATTAAAATACTTTAGTATTTAATTAAGTGTATATCAATTGTGCATAACAACACAATTCACTAAATAACGCGATGTGCTTTAAATAGTTAATCAAAAAACCTTAGCTAGGAGTTGGTGAATCACTGCCGCTGCAAGTGCTTTTTTGGTGTGGCCTTTTTAATCGATTCCAGTTTTGCGTGCTCCAAAAGAAAACAAAGCAAAATATTTGTTTAGCGCACAAGGGCAAAACAACATACTAAACTTATAAGAGCGACTGGAACGGGTGCGGATCGCATGCAAGGATCAAACTAAGTTAGTGTATGTCTATGAGCGTACGTACGTACGTGCGTGTGTGTGTGTGTGTTTGTGTGAGTAGCATGCAAAAGGCCAAAAGGTCAACAAAACTGAAACGTGCTTCATTTCTTTTATCAATTGCAGGTTCCTTGACAATGCCCAACACAATTAACAACAATGCACAGTGCTTTATTTACACTTTCCAGCTGCACATTAATCAGACCGACGCGAACCATAGCTAAAAAACAGAAACAACAAAAAACAAATGACCAAAACGAGACGTCGGCGCAACGGAAAAGCAATAATTAGAAACGTAGCGAAACGTATTTAATAGCAACTACAACAATCACTGGGTACTTCCAATAATTGTAGCCAAAATTCAGCGAATTCAGGACTATAGATACATTTACACTCACTGCTTGCCCATCCTGCTGGCCATGTACTCCGAACCCATCGATACCGATGAGCTGGACGCCATTGTCGATGTGGTTGGGCTACGCTCCCAGGCGCGGCTCAACACGTTCCGCGAGATGTGGTACCATGTCTTTCTGTGGGCCTTCTTCTCATCGATATTTATACACACCTGCGCCGCTCTGGTGGCATTTGTGACGCTGCGTCGGCACAAGTTTGGACGCTTCTTTTCCATACTGATACTGGTGATGGGATTCGTATCGCCCGCGAGCAGCGGCATCATTAGCAGCGCTGTAATCGCATTTGTCCATCGCGCTTCCAGCCTGCCCATGTCGCCGATCTATGCTCTCTTCTGGGGCGTCGGACAGACCATCTTCTCGGCCTGTTTGGGCTTCTTTCGCATTCTGGCCACGCTGTAGAATGATGCGACGAACTGACTTTCACATTGGCACCCAAACATCTCTTTATTTATGTCAAAATCCAGTTTCAAATTACGTAGCTCTCATTTACATATGATAGGTATATGTTCAAGTTGAAAGTTACCTAATGAAAGGTCAACCTAATATATCTAGTTATATTTGAATTAATATCGTATAGAATTTTTATTAATTTGTAAATCGAAAATCCGTAATTTTAAATAGTATTTTCTACGCGCCAAATCGAAATATCTATCAACAAATTGTTCAGGTGTATAGTCATTTCAAAACTAGAACTTAAACTAATTAAACAATTATGTACATTTTTAAGAGACACGCGTATAAAAATATTGTGATTTTTAATATAAACTATCTAACGAAATAGAAAACTGTACATATATAAATATTATTTAAGCACTTAAACGATCGATTGTAAATTATGAGCAGCTGAATAAACGGCCTAAATCTATACCTAAATCAATGTGTTCGGATCTCTAGCATTGTAAAGTGTATATAATTTATTGCTCAGGACATTGCCAATGCGCCTTTCCGACTGCAGCGGCTGTGGCCCATTGCTGCGCTTGATCTTGACATCCGCCAGCGTTTGCACCGCTTGCGGATCATTCTCAAAGTGCTCCAACATGCGCTTCGGGCAGGGATATTGTGATATGATGGCTTCCGCCACCTCCAGCGTGACCAGTGGCAGTCTGTTTAGGTGCTGCTGCCAGAGGCGTCCATAGCCGTTGCCCTGTTCCACGCGAACGCACTGTTTGTTGTCGTTCGCCAGGTACTTTTTGAAGCTGCCCAGAATGGCCTGACGCTGCTGCTTGTAGGGCTTCTCCGCTATGGCTTTTGTGTAGCGTTGCAGCAGTGCCAGCAACTCCTGGCATTGGGGCTGAGCCAGTTGCTCCACGTGCAGCTGCTGCAGCAGTTGCAGCTCAATCAGCGCGTCCGCCTCGCTGCTGACAGCGCTGTGTTTGCTCTGGCGAAGACGTGGCACAACCACCGTGAACTGGCAATTGGGTGCGGGAAATGCATCGTGTAACTTGGCGCCTATGCAGGCCAGATTCTGTTCCTTCAGAGCCCGTTGAAAGTCCGTTTCGGTGAAGATCACCAAAACTTGTTGCTCCATGTGCCAGGCATCGTCCAGTTCGGCACCCGCCGCAAGCGTCTGCTGACCTACATTTCGCTCCCAAATAATGCTATTGCGGGCGGGCAAAGTGCGTATTTCGTACTTCAAATCCGTATTGTTTAACTTCCCAATTAGCTCCTGACCCCATGCAATGCGCAACAGGCCCGCGTCCAGCACCAAGCGCACATATTTCTGGCATTCGCCGGGCTTCATGCGTTTCTGCTGCTCCTTAATGGCCTGTTTAAGCAGCTTGTCCGCTTTGTTTGACATTTTAACAATGTTATAAATGCAAATCTTAACAAAATTGGGCGCCAACTAGCATAAAAACAATTTTAATAGTGCTGCATAACGCAATTAGGCAGTGTATATTTACTTATCGATAGTTATGTTTGACCAATGCGATAGGCACAGCTCTCAGCTCTTATCGTTGCGCAGCACTTCAAGCCACACGTGTTTGTATTTATTGTGAAAAACGCACATTTCATAAATTTAATTCAAAATGTATCTTATGTACACAATTAACGAAAACGGCGAGCGTGTTTACACGTTGAAGGTTAGTTATAGCATGTGTAAATAAAGAATGCAGCTCATCTGTTTGCGCTTTCTTGCAGAAACGCACGGAGGACGGCCGTCCGACCTTGTCCGCACATCCAGCGCGTTTCTCGCCCGAGGACAAGTATTCACGCCAGCGCCTTACCATCAAGAAGCGCTTTGGTCTGCTGCTCACACAAAAGCCGGAGCCCATCTACTAAGCCAGAGTTTAAGTTTAAATTAGCTTACATGTTTATATTTACAAATAATAAGTAAACCGTAAAAAAACAAAACTTTGAAAACACTTCAAATGCGTCGCTTTAGGCCTGCAGTATAGTCGAACAATTGGGGATTACGGAACTCGCCGCGCATATCCAGCACATAGTAAAGCGTCTTGTCCTTCACTTTAATGGGCAGCTGCACGCGCGCCATTTCACGAGACTCCTGTGCCGAAATGCATTTCAGCGGCACAGTCATGATACGATTGCGATTGAATGGACCGTAGGTCACAAAGGACACGCTCTGGCCGCCCTTGCGCAAAATGAGAAACCGCACAGAGCGCAGCGTAAACATCCAAACAGCAAACAAAATGCCATAGCCTAGAGATTAATATAATCCTCAGTACTGTGCAGCATTTACATTTGTGTCGACTCACCAATCAGAAAGCTGCATGTTGTTATTCCATTCTTGTACTTGTTCTCGCCCAGATTTATGCGCTGAAACCATTTCAGCTCCTCGCCAGGCTTTTCGACAACTGGCGCATCTTTGAGCGTCGTAAAGGCGAAATGCGACAGATATGTCCAGAACACAAACTGACACACGCCGAAAAAGTTGAGCATTTGATAGAACCGTGGATTTTCATACTTAAATAGCACAATATCTTTTGGCACATTTGTGCTCACATCAAAGGCAGCTCGTGTCGAATTGGATCTGATGGGCGCAATAGCAGCCGGCACTTTGCTGGCTTTCGGTGTCAGAGCGCAGCGTAGGCTTTGCAAAGTGTGTCTTTTCAGGAAATTGGCGCCGTGTCTGAGCGCAAAATTAACCAAATTGCTCATTTTAACTGATAACTTAGTTTATGGCATTTATTATAAAACCAAACTAACCTACAAGCCGCACAGATGTTTTTGTTTTGTTTCATTTTTGATCGTTCGTTCGTTCGCCTGCGAACTGGTTTTGGCACACTCTTTTCCAGGGCTGTTAAGTACCAAGAGTCAGTGTTGTGGAACTCCTAACTGCAGTTCGGAATGCAATTGATACCATATCGGGAGCGGTAAGCCTTAATTACCTGCAAAACTAATTTACAAATAATTATTTGTTCGCTTCTTTAATAATTTGAACGAATATCAATGAGTATTGGCCCATAAAACTAAAATGTATTTGTTACTTAATGCCTTAAAACCGACTAATAAATATTTATTAGCCAGTTACAAGCTTAACTATATGCCAATAATTAAAATTTATTCATTATTCAATATATTATTTAAACTCCACTTTCTATTGTCCATGCCTACAGCCAACAGATGTTGTTCGTGCTAAGTTGTTTATAGTTCATTTTTCGCCCTGCCTGTGAGCTAGTTTAAGCGTTCAGGAACTAGCCGCATCACAACTGGTTCGCAGCTCCTCACAATTGTTGTTGTCTGCTCAGATTTAGTCTGTGTTTGGTATTCCAGTTGTTCAGGGCGGTGGTTCTCTGTACGGTGTAAACAAAACGCAAAAAAAAACCGTTTAAATTATTGAAATCCTAACTACGTAGGACATTTGACAAACGTAACGTTATAATCTATATGCTTAAAACAAGAACAACTTTCAACATACATATACACACAGGTAAGTTAATGTTAAGTATTAAAGATTGTTGCCAGATCTTAACTTCACATACTATTATTGTTATTATTTTTGTTTAAAAGCTTTTAATATGACCATTCCGTGTATATATGCATGGGTTGAGGGGTTTTCCAACGTATTCACATAAGTTTTTGATTTCGAATATGTAAAAAGACACTTTTTAGCATTTGTTTGCGTTTTTAGGGTTGTCAGGTGGCTGCACCGCAGCCGGTAAAACTATAAATGCCTCAACTTTGTCTTCATTTATCTTAAAATGTAAACATTGAAAGCGGCATTTGTAATGTACATGTGTATGTTTGTCCTTGGACCTTAAGCATAGGCTGTGCATATGTGTGACAATTTGTGGTGATGGCAACCCTATTATATACCATGTGCACCATAATTACATGTACATTTATACAAAAACGCCCATACATATGCGCATAGATAATAAAAACTACCTTTATTTCAAAATAGTGCTGTGCTAGCACTTGGCAGCCCTAAAAACATTAAATTGTACAATCATAAAATTAAATTGTTGCCCCGTTTGCTGTTACTCTTGCGCTTGCAGTTACCTGCACGTGATAACTTAAGCGCCGATGTCTAGGATCAAATGATATTTCTATAATATTGTTATCCAAATTCTGTTTAAGACCCATGGATCTGTAACATTCTCCGGAACTTAGATGTTTTTCAAACTAACCTCACTTTGCATCAAAATCGATACGTAACCTAAAAAGAATGTGAATGCGCTGCAAAATATTATACACATACAAACCTTGTTATACATACACGAGCACACATACACACACACACGCATAGTTCTACTTAAGCGAACTCAGGTATGCATGTGTGCGCGAGTGTGTGTGTGTGTGTGCTTGCATGCGAGAGCGAAACAGCTATAATAGACATACATAGCTCCCAAAACAAGTCCAATCATAGTTATGTTACTATGAAAAAGACATAAACATATGTAAAGGTGCCTATGCAGAGACAATTAATCAGGTAGCTTTGTTTTATTTAATTAATTTTTGTCTACATATATGTAAAGCGCATACAAACAAGATGAGAGCAATAAAACTAAAGTAGGGTATAGGTAGGGAGGCAGGGCGACACTGAGGTACAACCCAAACATAATGATAGTATCTGAGTCAAATCATGTTCCCGACCGATTCTATATCTTGACATTTCGAAACATAAGACCTGTTTTTTTTCCCAATACATAGTACAAACTTTGGACGGCAAATATGGCTGCCGACGCCTCAATTTTTGTATTGCGTCCGTTTTAGTTGCTGCTTCTCACTGTGCTGCTGTGTCTTCGGTACGCCTCGTTGTTGTACGAGGGCACGAACAAACTGTTTTTGTCGTTCGGCTGTTCGTTGTTTGACGCTATGGCAAACTTTTTTCTTTTTCTTATTTTCTACATATAGATTACATACATACATATATACATATTTTTACCTCGTATAAACGTCTAGTACAGCTCCCTCTCTTTCTTTCCCTCTCTCTCTGTCATCAGCTCTCTCTCCCTCTCTCTCTCGCTCTTCCTGTTCAAGCTCTTACGCTCTCACTCTCCCTCTCTTTGGTCTTAAAAGCCTACGACCTAGTACTAAACCGGTATCCTGCCAAAAGTCCTAGGCAAACGCATGGAAAACTGCATCTTCGCAAGTCCCAAAACTGCGGATCTTAGACTAGCGCACAAATTGCCACATTATTGCTGTTTAACTCCCTCTCCCCCCTCCCCCCGCTGCTTAAACTCTTTCGTTAAACGTGTGCTCTTGATTTGATTTTGTTTGCCGTTTTACATGTTTTCATTTTCAAATAACATTTTTTCAGATTTTGTCGTTATTTTCTATAGAAAATAATAATTTAATTTAATTTATCCCCCGTCGCCCCCATCCGCTCCCCCTCACCCATTGGCAGATAAAATGTTTCACATAGAGTTGTCTCGCTCCCGCACTCAGCTCACTCGCATCGTACCTCCCGCTCCCACAGCAAGCAGCGTTGCTCGTTTATAAAATGGCAATTTATGGCAACTTTACTTTTACTTTGTTTTGCGTTTTTCTTTTATTATGTTGTTGTTATTGTTATCGGAACTCTGTGGAAAACCATATCATAGACGAAGATCCCCTGCAGCAGCAATTGTAATGTGGTTCAACCCCCTGCAACCGAACCCCCCGCCCCGAGGTATTAGTTCTTCAAGCGGCAGTGCTGCCCACTCGTTTCAAAATTGTTGTTGGTAATCCGATTCGCATATAACTCCGCTGACAAATTACCTGAAAAGTTGACCTATTTCAGAAGTACCCGAATATCTAGCATGATGGTGTGCAAAATCGTTTACATTTATTTGCCAGACATGATGACGTCACAGCGCATTTGGCTAGGGGTCGCACGCACTGTAGAATTTCACGCACATTTAAGATGTGGAAAGTGAAATTGATTAAAAATTTTGGAAAATATATATAGAACGTTATCAAATCCTATCTGACACGCCCTTACCAAGCAGTTAGGTCGCTGCCCCCTGCCATGCCCTCTCGCGCGCTCTCCCACCTTGTCTCCCTCTCTCTCTCTCTCTCACTCGCTCTCTCTCCGCAGCGCTATTGTGCTCTTTTTTTAATGTCGTCGTCTCGCCGTCAGCTGGTTTTTGCGTTCGCGTTCGCGTTCACTTCGGCCACTGTGTTTAGTGTTGCCTTGAACTCGCACAGAAATCTAGTTACAAATAATTTGATTTCTTTAGAGTCTAGTGTAAATTGCTGCAAATTGCTTGACACTCATCGAAACGAGGCGCATCCATACTGCTTGAGCTTATCGTAAGTTGGATTTTGTCCTAATATTAAAAATTATATAAAATTGCTTCAATTTAACCTCAAATTTGTTAACACCCCACATTGTAACGGCAGAAGCTAAAATATATACATATAACGTATATCGAATATATGTATATCGCTTCAGTCCGTACGCTCCATACAACATATCT